GTGAGCAAATGCCTAGGCAACCTTTCACTGCATCTTGAATGATAACAAACTAGCACCCTGTCAGATAAACTAGGAAAGTGATTTATGGGGAAAGCAAAGACGGAAGGCAAGGGTCTTTTGCAGCAAATACCATGGCAGCAACCCCTAGGCAGTTAAATCTAGGGAGAGCTATCTCAGACATTTCACTGATAGCACAGCTGCCATTCTAGAAAGACTAGAAAAGGAAGTGATAAAGGCACAGGCAACCGCAAGTCTGAAAGGGAGCACTCTAGAGAGGTAATGTGTAACTTGCCTAATAGGTCTGCCTCTTCTTCTTTATTCCAAGGAAGCATTATTTGTTCTGTATTACTGAATTTCAGTATTAAAGGAGGATTGCTTCCTTGTTTCTTGGTTCTCAAACTTAATCCGTTCCGGAAGTCCGTTCCAAAACCAAAGTGTTCCAAAACCAAGGCACACTTTCCCATAGAAAGTGATGCAAAATGGATTAATCCATTCCAGACTTTTTCAAACAACCCCTAAAACAGCAATTTAACATGAATTTTACTATCTAACATGACCATTGAGCCATAAAATGAAAGCAATAAACAATGTACTGCAGTCACACAATCAATCCAGTAGCTGAACTGGGTTCTACACAGTCACAAAAACAACAAAAAAGAGCCGCAAAAACAGACAGACCTCAGCGTAACACTCAAAACGGAAGTGTGGCACTCAAATCGGAAGCATAACACTCAAAACGGGGCACGTTTGCCTTCTGAAAAAAGTTTGCAAACCAGAACACTTACTTCTGGGTTTGAAGTGTCTGAGTTCCAAACAGGGCCAGATTTAGGTTTGATGAAGCCCTAAGTTACTGAAGGTAATGGGGCCCTTTATATGTCCAGCTGTCCTTTGTCAACAACAAATTGTCACTGTTTTCTTGTGTTGAATATATGCTATATGGTAATTTATGGACCTAATAAGTATCTAAAGCCATTTGCCACTGTTGCTGTATGTAGGTTTTATTTTATTTGTTTTTATTTTATATTTGGGAAATGTACATCCAATGTTTTTTTCCTTTATTTTTTGGGGGGCCCCCAAGAGAGTGGGGCCCTAAGCTATAGCTTGTTTAAAGGTAAAGGGACCCCTGACCATTAGGTCCCGTCGTGGCGGACTCTGGGGTTGCGGTGCTCATCTCGCTTTATTGGGTGAGGGAGCCGGCGTACAGCTTCCGGGTCATGTGGCCAGCATGACTAAGCAGCTTCTGACGAACCAGAGCAGTGCACGGAAATGCTGTTTACCTTCCCGCTGGAGCGGTACCTATTTATCTACTTGCACTTTGACATGATTTCAAACTGCTAGGTTGGTCCGGCACTGGTTCCAAGTTCTTTGCGTACCAAGGCGTTTGAGAACCAAGGTACCACTGTAATAGGAAACAGGTGGGAAATCCCCTGCCTGGCCATCTGTCCCGCCAACCACCCATCTCTGGTTCAAACTGGATCTTAGATTGCACCAGGACTGATAGGCAGCAGTGAAAGGTGGGGGCGGCAGTGGGGGCTTACCTGACCTCCTGACAGCTGGGTCATTGCAGCTTATCAAGAGGGAGAGGGGCAGGGAGGTGAGCAAGTGTAAATATTATACTGTAATATTTTAATGTTAGTGTTTATTCATTTAAATGTAAATATTATATTGCAAACCACCCTGTGATTTTCAGGTGAAGGGAAGCATAGAAATTTGCTTTTAAGAAAATGCACAGGCAGGAGCACAAGATTGGTTCTGCATGTGCGTTTCCACCATGCTGACCTCCTTTCCGCCTCACCTCTTCTGGAAAGCAGCAATGACTCAGCTGTTGAGGGGTCAAGTAAGCGCCGTCACCCTACCCTATCATTAGCTATTGCTTGCAGGACCCCATTGCGCTACACAGCTTGGTTTACAAACCAAACAAGTCAAGGAGGATGAGAAGTGATAACAAAAAGGCCGGCTGAGGACGGTAGTGAGGTCAAGCCTTTGCCTAGGCCAGCACTACTGCCATTCTCACTATGCTGAAACACTCCACTCTGAGAATACTAGCGGTCACCTGGGAGAAGTCTTGGATCTCATGCCCCACCTCTTCCAGCGTGAGGGGGCTCACAGAGAGTGATTTCTCCAGCAGGCGCCCAAATTGTGGAGCCAGAACTGCTGAAAGTACCATTGGGCAAAGTCCTCATCACGGAATAACCACAGACATTGTCCCCTGATACATTTGGATTTAGAGAGCAGGGATTTCACTGCAGAGGATATATCGACTAAGAGTTGTGCCCCAGAATCTCTGCAAAATTAACTACCGGACATAACCTAAAAAGACTGCTGTATATGCTTCCTCAGCCTCCCACTGAGAAGAAAGATGCTGACACCACAACTTACATTGTTTGGAGACATTTTTCATGGACCTCAGAATGTGCATATACTCTTGTCCTCCTAAGTCGCACCAAAGTACAGCTCTAGTGTTCGTCACCCACCTTCAACTTCCCCCACCCTCCACCGCTAAACGAGGGATTTATATTACTTCATAGCTTAACAATTGCACTGTGAAATGCACTTTTTATAGCGGAAAAATGCATGAAATTATACTCTTAATGGAACCGATTCCTCAGTTTTACAGCGTTCAAGAGATTTTGTCAACATACATTCATGTTGAAACAAAGGCAAAAAAGAAAAAGAAAAAAAGATTTAATGGGAAAGGGTAAATTTCCTTCCCCCAGCTTCAGGCATCTATGTTACAGAAACCTGGTCTGTCTCCCACCTTATTTTGCATTTATAAATGTCCAGTTAGTCCTTAATGGCACAACCCAACCCCATGGAAATGAATGGGAGCTGCAAAACATGTTCTGTTACTGTGCAGGGAAATTTGAAGGTTGATGGTATCGCAAGTTGAGAGGAATACCTAGGCTCCCTTGCACCCTTGGCAAGGAGATGATTCAGTGTGGAGAGATACAATTCTCCTCCACCAAGGGCCTGCACCCTTGGTGGGGGCCAACTTACCTAACCCCTAGGCAAGTCCCTGCCCAAGTTATAGGGAATGTTATTTCTCCTGCTCACCCTTTCTATTTTCCTAAAAGCTCTTGATCATCATTTTAACAGGCTTGTTCTATATCTCATAGTAATGCCTAGTTTTTGTAGGCTTGGTCTCTACACAATCTTTAGCATGTTATAGCACCTCAGATAAGGCTATTACCATGTAAATTAGACTGATAATGAACTCTGCAGAAATGTTCATTTAGAGCAATATTATATATTAAACGGAATGTGCTGAATTCCCTGCTCTAAATGAGATCATAGAAAGGTCAATGACTGTAAAATAAAAGCACATATCCAAGTAGGATCTAAGTAAAAATCAATACCAATCTATTTTATTTTCACATCACTGAGTGTATATAAATGTGTCAGTCACATGAAATATTATACGTCTCTTTCTGCTGGTGAGTGAAACATCACTTGTTTACCTACTTCTCATGCCTTTTGGCACGGGATAACCATTAAGCAAAAAGAAAAATATAGTATTGTTTCATATTTTCAGGTTGTATAACTTTAGACTTCCAAAAATTGAACTGAGCTTATTCTTAGCATCTTAAACATAAACAGGCCAACCATTAAGTCCATAGAGACTTTAATTCAGGCTGGGTGTGGAGTCAGAATTAGTAACAGGATTTCTGGATGAGAATAGAATAGAATAGAATAGAATAGAATAGAATAGAATAGAATAGAATAGAATCTTTCTTTAGGTGCAAGCTAGGCTCCAAACAACTGTACAGCCTGAGGGAGTTTTGCGGTTATATTCCTTAGCAGCAACTTTCTATATCGCATGGCAAAGTAGTTTTGAAACAGGAAGGGGGAAGGATGTAGCTCAGGGACAGAGTATCTGCTCTGTGTGCAGAGCATCCTTGTTTCAATCCATAGCACCTTCAGATAGGACAGGGAATGTCTCCTTGTCTGAAACTCTGGAGAGCTGTTGCCAGTCAGTGAGACAATACCGAACTAGATGGCCCAATGTTCTGACTCAGTATAAGGTATCTTCCCCTCAGGGGCGAACGAAGGCATCGTGTCACCTGGGGTGGCAAACCGCTATGTACAGTGCATGTGCGGCATCGCTACGTACAGTGCATGCGCCGTAAGTAGCGACGCTGCACATGCGCCGCACATAGCGGTTTGCAGGCGCTGCCGCTGCAGTGCCATATGGACGGTGCCAGGATCCTCTGCTTGCGGCTGCAGCAACGAACAGAGGATCCTCCACATGTCGCTGCGGCGGCGCGATGGCTGCTCGTGCTGCTGCGAGCCCCCGCGAATGCCTTCTTGTCACCCCCCCAAACATGGCACCCGGGGCATACCGCCCCCTGCCCCCCATTGCAATTCCACTGCTTCCCCTGTCCCTAGGGGTTCAAACAAACAGCATTTTTCAAATATGGCATGAGAAACCTGCTGCTTAAATACAAAACCCTTGGGCTTTTTGGATCCCATCCTCTGTCTCTCTCCTTTCTGAAATCAGTAAGCGCCTATTTTTACAATAAATAAACAAATATGTTTAGTTACAAGTCCAAACTGTGTGCATCACTCTAGATATGAGAGGGATCACTGTTCCCATTGTCAAAACACAATGGCTTAGTTTGCACATAATAATAATTTTATTATTATTATTTATTTATATGCTGCCCATCTGACTGGGTTGCCCAAATCACTCTGGGCGGCTTCCTACAAAACATTCACACGCACACACAAATGCTAAACCTTTTGTTTAGTGTTTTATGTCTGATTCAGTCATAACAGCAAACCATAGTTAATTGAAGACAGAAGCAAAATCTCCAATCGCCCTCTTTCAGTCATGAGGGAATAGGAGAGAAAGGAGGGTTGTGGTTTAGTGTAATGGAGGAAGACAACAATTGAAATGAATAACAAAATATTTGTTGATTAAAACAACTGTGAAGATACGTATTAACCCTTTATTGTGAGGCAGCCATTAGTACAAACCTCCAGATGGTTAACCTTGGTTGAATGCCTCTATTTTCCCCACAAAGGTATAATTTTCACAGTGGTTTCTGTTTATATGGAACTCTGGAATTGTAGCTCTGTGAGGGAAATAGGAACCTCCTAACAACTCTCAGTTCAAAAGTACGTCAAAGTGCAAGTAGATAAATAGGTACCGCTCTGGCGGGAAGGTAAACGGCGTTTCCATGCACTGCTCTGGTTTGCCAGAAGCGGCTTAATCATGCTGGCCACATGATCCGGAAGCTGTACACTGGCTCCCTTGGCCAATGAAGCGAGATGAGCGCCGCAACCCCAGAGTCGGTCACGACTGGACCTAATGGTCAGGGGTCCCTTTACCTTTACTTTAACAACTCTCAACATCTACAACAACCCATAGCTCTCAACAGTGCTTTTTTCTGGGGGGGACGCAGGGGTACACATACCCCATACTTTTGTCCATTTACTGTATTTATTTTTCCTGATTTGAACTATAAAACGGAAAGTAACCCTAAACATATTTTTATAGAAAAAAAGCACTGGCTCTCAGAATTCTTTGGGGAAAGCCATGGGTGTTTAAAGTGGCTTTAAATGTATGAGGTGAATGTGGCTCTAATAATCTAATCTAATCAATCTAATCTGTCCTATAGTTGTAGATGGCAGTTTCGTTAGACAGCCTTTTCAAAGTTACCAAGGAAGGCAAGAGATTAAAACATCTCTGGCATTTTTATTATATGAAGTATAGAGACACTGCTGTTCAAAGTTTTAAAGACATATTCATTCTTCATTGGACTAGAAATATGCTATTGGAATGGAGTGCGGATGTTACTTTTTTCATAATTTTAAAAACACACTTCAGTTTTTCTATAGATTGCAGACATTACCATCTGAAGTCTTTGAGGTGAATTTGTTAATATCATGCATTGGCTTGAAATGATATGTTGTATATACAGTCATGAATGCTTTTTTGATAGTTGCTTTAGGTTAGGTGTCATTTGTGCTGCTTGTAAAAAATGAATTTACCTTAGCAGATATGCACAGAAATGCAGCTCGTGAACATTTACACACGGGAGTTTATAACGACTCCTTTATAAAGAATATTTCTGGCATTTGCAGTGACAAAACGCAGAGTCTCCAAGCTGAGCCCATGAGGGATGTAACATTGAAGCTAATGGGGTGTAGCAAAATAAAATATTGGCTATTAAAGAAGGCTGGGCAAAGAAGGAAGAGCTGCAGATGATAAACGGAATGGGATCGTGACACCAAAGCAGAAGGGCAGGGAAGGAAATAGTGAGGAAAATGTTGAGCCTGAAGGTCAGCGTGGTGCTAGACTTGGGGCTGAAGTCTAGTGCTCCCTTCAGCAGAATGAGCAGGAACACCCCCAGGCTAGCTCAGTCAGTAGAGAACAAGACTCTTAATCTCAGGGTAGTGGGTTTGAGCCCCACTTTGGGGGAAATGTTCCTGCACTGCAGGGGGTTGGATTAGATGACCCTCATGGTCCCTTCAAACTCTACAGTTCTATGATTCTATGATACACATTGCCATCTAAAGAGCTCCACCTTTCTTGTCAAAGAAATGGGAAAGAAAAGCACCCTCACCCCCTAAAAAATGTAAGGAAGTAATAAAATTTCATTTTATATTTGTGCATTAAGAAGCAAAGTACTGTAATATGGTTGGGGGTTGGCCTGGATGATACCCGTGGGCCACAAGCAAGCCTGTGATCATAGTAGGGGAAACCTGCCAAACTGGTCAAGTGAGTTCCTTCCTTAAGATAATGGCCTTAGTCAGGCCTGTAAGTGCCTTATGCAGTGTGATTTAAAGAGCGGGCCGTGTTGCCATAGAGACAATGGGTGAGCCTCCCCTGCTCCCCCCTCCCTGTGTCACCTGGCTGGAAGTGACATCATCTTGTAAGCAAGAGAACAGGAGACAGGGTTGGTCTGTGTGCTTAGTGAAGACTGGAAGCTGGAAAGGCAGAGAAACTTCTTGCACACTGGGTTGAATTCCAGTGGCTACAAGGGACCCTGCTTCCCCTAGAAACCTAATGGGGGGAAGCAAGATCTGTCGAAGTGTTCATTCTGTGAGTCCTTCCATTTTATGCTTGGGTTGTATACACTGTGGTACCTTGGTACTCAAACTGCTTGGCTCCAGAACAAATCGGCTCCCAAACGCTGCAGACCCAAAAGTAAGTGTTCCAGTTTGCAAACGTTTTTCAGAAGCTGAACTTCAGTGGTTTCCGATTGAGTGCAGGAAGCTCTCCTGCAGCCAATCGGAAGCCGCACCTTGGTTTTCAAACTGCTTTAGGAGTCGAACCGACTCCCGGAACAGATTAAGTTTGAGAACCAAGGTACGACTACATGTGTACATTAAACCAGACATCCTAAAGACTCCACATTCTCCACTGACCTTCATTCCAAGGAAACTTAACTTTGGTTATGCTTAAAAAGATCTATCCATTCTTTCATAGATGTTTCTAGTTTCATGTCTTTTGCTACTATGTTTCAGGCAGGGGTCCCAACTTGAATAAAATATTGGGGGGCAGGTAAGCCCTGTCGTGCATAGTCAATCACATGACACAGCACACAGACACCATTTGAATGGCAATGTCCATTAACTAGGGAGGGGGTCCCAGCCCTCTCAAATATTTTATTGGTGGTGGTGTGTGTGTGTGTGTGTGTGAAAAGATCTCGGGCCCTAGGTTTCAGGTCTGAAATGGTGCCCATATTTGGGCCAATATAGGACTTTCAAAACAAAGGGCTTTTTCCACAGTGTCTGTGTGGTTTGACTGCAGAAACATGATATTTCTCAAACCTCTTTCTCCCGCCCTCCCCCACTTTATCCATCATGTATTTTGATTCACACATTATTCTGGTGCTTTGCTAATAGCCAGAGGGAACATGCTGGAGAAAACGTCTCAATAACCCAAGAAAAGTTTAATAACAGTAGTGTGGGTGGTTGATTAATGTTTCATGTTTACTCCAAACTATTCTGGTATAAAGTCAGTTTATATAAATCCATATTTCTTCATTTTTTAATTGTGATCAAGTTTCTTTCTTTCTTTCTTTTACTATCACAGAATACACAGTATATTGTAATCTGTGGGCTCCCAGAAAAAACCCCCAGTCTTACATTTTTAACTGAGATTAGGGCCTTACTGATACGTGTTGGGACTAGAAGCTCATATCTGCTTTTTAACAGTGGCAGAGAGAGTGACTCCTTATCTGACTTCATGGGAGGTATTTTCTCAGCTTTCAACTCAAGCAAAGGGGTTCAGGAAAAACAAGGCTTCCCTGCCTCCTGGCAGCAGTTCCAATGAACAGCATGGAGCATTATGGAGAGTTTACAGTATATATGGTTTTTTGTTCAGGTGTGTGGATGTGTATATTGAGAGGTGGGCAAATAAAACCTAAGGGGAATCAAGGCAGTTGTAGTGAAACAGATGCATCAATTCTGAGCAATGTAAGCTCAAGAAGCATTTCTATCTATGAATCTGCAAGGTTAAAGTCAGCTCTGGATAATATTTCGCAGCACAATCCTATACTTGTCCAGTCAGATGCAAGCTCGCTTGAGTTTTCAGTGGGGCTTACCCTCGGGGAAACTGCGTACAGGATTGCAACCTTAAAACACTTTACATGCAAAAGGTCCCAGGTTCCCAGAATGTCCCATCAAAAGCATCAAGGAATGGGGAAAGACTTGACACCATAGACAGCCACATTGCCAGTCAGAGTAGACAAAGCTAGCCTGGATGGACCAATAATCTGACCTGGTATAAGGTAGCTTCCCTATGTTCCTGTGTACATAGATGAGCAGTGTATGAAAGCATGGAATATGTTGGTTTGCTGAAATGTTGCACTTTTGCCAATTTAATCCCTGGAATAACATACTGTCGACATGCACAGGCCCCTTTCAGAGACTGCTCATGTGAAGGGCTTCCTATGATTATAAAGCAAAGCATGGCACCGATGCTATGCCCACCTTCCTTGCAGTATTTTGGGATGTCTCTGGCATCATTGCTCCTATCGAGCATAGGAAGGGAAGGGAAGGCAGGCAGGCAGGATTCACAGGTTCTCAGGGTGTTCCTGGCAATACTTCGACTCTGTCATGCTCCCAATGGCCCCAGATGGGATCCAGTTTCAGAAATGGGCTTGGGGGAGGGTTTTTATTTTCTGATTTTTTTTGGGGGGGGGACTATCTCAGCCCTGAACTGAATCTGTAGGAGATTGCCGACACCAACACATCACCTACACTAAAGATGGGCCATGCTTCTAACTCCCATTTCATCAGCTGTCTTTATTGCTGTTGCACAGGTGACATTCCCAACCATAGATGGCATAGCTGTGCTGGGTGAGGAGATTTAACAGTTCCATCAGGGTATACCATTAGTCAGACTCCAGTAAGCCTCACCCTATGTGCTGTTGTTTGGCTCAGGGGCTGTGAACAGCAAGATATCCCTTCACTGTCGTTGGCTAGTACTTGGAAGAGGCTGCAGTGGCAAAGCAGGTGGAAAGGGACATCGCTAATGTCCCCTTCCTAGTCCATTGATGTGATTTTTCTGGTGGTACCAGAGATGGTACTGAGCATATATAGTATAGGATCAGGCTGTTAGATACCCCCCCCCAAGTTATTGATACTGTGGAAATGTGACAAATATCTAGAAATTATTTTACACCAACCCTATGGTCTTCTTTCTTCTTTCTCTCCCACAAGTGGTCTGCTTTAATCACAAATTCATCAAGGAACAATTCTACAGAATGAAATAGTAATGAGTTTTAAAGCACACGAGGAAATTGCACAATATTCCAAAGTATTTATTGGAAAATACCTTTGAGATTTTCTCCTGCTCTGACGTCTGGTAACATTTAATCTCATCTCCATCTCTGCTAAAATATTCCCTCCTCATATTGTCTTCACTCACACAGGCTCTTTCCTAATTTCCTTTGTATTTTATTCTCACTGCAAGACTATTGTCTCCAATAGCAAAAAGAAAAAGAAAAATGGGTCATAAGAGGAAAGTTCTAATATCAAGAACAGACTTGCTAAATGACATCTAACTTAGTTTAACAGAAATAAGGGTCTACAGAACACCATTGATTGGCTAGGGTAGATTTATTTTTATGTCTGCTTTCTCTCCCTAAAAGACAACATCTTCCTTCTCTGTTACCACTGTATCAGTTGAACCACATCTAGCCGAGATCTTCCGGATTGTTGTAAGGTGTCTGATGAAGCCCAAGATGGAATCTGCAGAAGGCAAACCATCTGTTGCTCTCTGTGATGTCTCAGCTGGAATCTTTGTTGATGTGCAACACAATCCTATGCATGTCTACTGTGAAGCAAATCTTATGAAGTTCAGTGGGAGTCATTTCCAGGTAGGTGCAGACAAATCCACTCACCTTCAGTCAACTTGGACATGGCAGATGGTGAAGGATTTACAGCAGCAATGTCAGAATGAACTGCTCACCACAACTTCTTGAATAATTTAGATCAGAGATGGGAGCAGATAGATCTGGATCTCAGGGGTGCTAACTTGAATAAAATATTGGGGGAGGGGGCAGATAAGCCATGCCCCACATAATCACAAGATGCGGTACACATACCATTTGAATGGCAATGCCCATCAACTTTTTTTTGGGGGGGGGCAGCCCCCTCAAATAGTTTATTGGTGGGACCAAAGCCCCATCAGCCCCTAGGAGTTGGCTCCTATGCAGGATCTACTGGTATATGTCTGAGTTATTTGCATTAAATCAGCAATGATATTGTCTCACAATGTTTAACAGCAGCAACCACAAAATGACTCTTCCATTTAAACCAGGCTGCTTGGGGTAGTGAGTAAATGAGTTTTTGTGTGGAAGGATTGCGAACTCAGCCCACTTCTGGAATTCAAAACAAAACCCTGAGTTCAACAGCTTAATTCTAATTCCCTTTATATCTTGGGTTTCTAATAAGGTACAAATTAGATCCCACAAGCCTGAAGTGCGCCGTCTCTCGATTTAGATCTGCTTTTCTTCCAAAGCTGTGGAAAGAGTGCTTGGAGGTTACTACATGTCAATTGGATACTTATCTGTTGGGGGGGGCAGTGCGTGTTAAGGCCAGCTGAGTACACCTGAATGTACTTTTGGCTAAGATTGTGAATGTTCCTCTAAGGTAGGATAGGCGGTTGTAGCTTTTGAATGAAGCAGTAGTTCATTCATACAGAGTTTTCAGATGTGGGCTGAGAAATATGAAGTTGTAGCAAGAGAGGAGATGAATAACCAAAACTAATTTCATACTTCACAAATGGCTGACTCCATCCACACGACCTAGTTGTGGGGGGTCTGTTCCATGGTGAGAAGCAGTGCCAGACATTTTGATGCCCAAGGTGAACCACAAAATGGTGCCTGCCCCCACCTTCCCACCAGGAAAACAGGGGTGAGTGAAAATCTACATCAAGAGCAAGTGGTGAATAAAAATCTACATTGG